ACAGAAATTCTTTCTAATATTACAAATTACTAGCTGTGATTAGATTTAGAGCAAAATCTCAATGACCATGAACAACTTTTGAAGATCTGCTTCAAATTAAGAACAACTATATGTGGTCATCAAAGAAACCGTTCACTGTTATTCTGTTACACTCTCAAACTTCACAGCAGCATATGCGGTTATGATACCAAAGTTTGGAAATAGACATTCTAACTGAAGGTTATATTATGATCTTGTAGACAACATTTCCGCAATCAACGTTGCCTCAAAGAAATCAGACATGAAAAAAAAAAAAAAACAAACAAACAAACAAACAAAAAAAACAACCACATCACACATGCTTTTAATTTCTAACATACAAGTCTGGGAAAAGAGAGATACATAGTTAGCGAATTGCATGTTCAAAAACCATGTAGCTCTAGCATCCTCATCAAGTCATTGACGAATGAATATTTATCAGATTGAAGGGCATCATGGGTATGACTAAACAACTAAAAGGAGTTAAGGGAAGATGTTAAACTCTGCACCACCAATCCACCATCAAGAATCTTTAACCAAATGATGATGAACGAGTTCACTTGGTGAGTTGTAAGGTTTTATTTAGCAGGTTGTTAGGCTTGTAGAGTGATGGCTATGCATCTAATTTGACATGTTCACAGAGTCTTTGTAAGACAGACTAACAATTTTTTGTCTTTCAAAAATAGGTAATTTTGTCCTACTGGCAACATTACATGATTTTGAATAAGACAAATAAAGTTTATGAGTTTAATCACTATAAAAAAGATGAGAGACTTTATCAATAATGTTGTGAATGACATATGGGTTGTTTTGCATCCATGGCGCATCAGATTTCTATTCCAGCAAAGTTAACAAAGAAAGGTTTAATCTTTCACCAACTCTCATCCATTTACATGTGCTGTCTTCCCTTATCAACTTACTATGTGCCTAATGACAAAAAATTAGAGCATCATCCACTTGTGTAAAAACCACATCCTCCTAGATAAGCTAGGTGCCAGTTAATCAGATAAATGTAGTAGAAACTGCATCTGCAATTGGATCAATGGATATTCATAACTGGTCATTGATCTATTTGCTAGCATTTAGCAAATAACGAGTTTCAGAAATCCTCAGAATGTTCAAGACTTACGCTCTTACATGTGTTCTGTGTTCCCAATCTTAGTAAGTAAATATTTTAAGCCCTTAAAGGGTACACATTATAATGAAAAATCGAACTACTCGCTCGCAGATGTATACAATATGAAGTTGAAATAATCAGCAACAACATTCTACACATGAGGGGAATATGAAACTCAGCACACAAACGAGAGAGATACAGAGAGTTCCAATGGAATACTGACCTTGTGGGCGTGATGAGACTCAAAGACTGGTTTGACAGGCGAAGGTATCGGGCGTGCATGAGAGCCATGATAAAACGTTGAAGGGGCATGAGCCCTGGTACTCGTACTGGCGGCGGTGGTGGCGGTTGCGGTTGCGGTGGTGGCATTCCGTTGAGCGATCCGATTGAGAGCATCCTTTTCAAGGGAATCAAGCTCCTCCGAGCTAAAACCCCAGTCGTCCGTTTCCATCACTTTTCCCCCCTTTTTTCACTCTCTCAATATATCTCGGAGCAGGGAGGGTTTTGAAACTTGAAACGAGGGTTTAGACTTTAAAAGTTATAGCACTCAAAAAGACTTGCAAATGCTCATTTACCATCTAATCTTTCTTGATCCTGAACCAAATCCAATCTTCATTTTCTTCCATCCAAGACTTTTGACTTTTTAGTTCAAAAAGTCCTTTTATTGAAAATACTTTTCAAACTAGAAAGCAATCCCAAACACCCCTAAATTTTAGGTACAAACGGATCATCCGTAAAAAATAGTGTATAGAATTGAAACACTGAAAATGAAATCCTACTCTAATAAAAAGATTATTAGAATAACTTTATGTCATGTGGCATTTGATCGGTCTCATCCCAACTTATTTTCCAACCTAAATCATGTATGTGGATTGTCGTTGTTGCCCCTTCTTCTATTCCTTTAAACTCTCGGTGCAATTAAATTTGCATGTTCCTTCGTCCTTACACTCCAATTTCGTTCCTGAAAATCAGGAATCATTCAACAGTATACTCGGCTTGTAAATAGATATAACGCATATACATTTTTATTTTGATGACTCCTTATCTTCCTATTTTCCCAATCTAAACCCGTAGATGTCACCACCATTGGTTGTGTCCCTTTTGTCCTCTGTCCAGCAACGAACCCCACCATAAACGATGTTGTTTCCTTCTCTCCTTGCCTCCTTTTCTTGGACGTAAACTAATCGGTTATAGTTTTAATTTCTTACCCCTTTTTACTTTAATCCAGCTTCAATTTATTGGTTGTCTTTGATCGATTGGGTGGAGCATTATCTTCTTTCATCCCCTTACTTGCAGATTTTTATAATCGACTTATTTTATGTGTAACGTCCCAAAAATATGACCCAAAAATTTCATTTTTAATTTAATAAAAACAGTATTCCAAAAATATCATCAATACAATCTAAATAAAATAAGTGTGTCAAACATCATCTCAAATCAGAGTAAATCACAAAAACATAACTATGTGGTGTGTGCAATGCATTTAGGGGTGAGCAAAAACCGAACCGCAAGCCGAAAAAACCGATAAAACCGCATAAACCGAAACCGAAAAACCGAAACCGAAATGAAAACCGACGGTGCGGTTTTAGTTTTGCAAAAACCGAAAATGTTCGGTGCGGTGCGGTTTCTAGTCTTGCAAAAACCGCAAAAAACCGAACCGCACTGAATATATATATATATATATATATATATATATATATATAGGTTTAGGTTTTATGGAAAACAAAAAACCCTAAAAATCATTAAAATGCATAAAAAAATACTTAGAGATCACAAAAAAAAATTGAATTTTTTTATCAAAAAATCGCAACTTTTAGGTCAAAATCACTGAAAAAAATTTTTGAAAAAAAAAATTGATTTTTAGCGAAATTATAAAAAATGCTGCGATTTTTTGATAAAAAAATTCAAAAAAAAGTTTTGTGATGTCTTGGTATTTTTTTTATGTATTTTTAGGGTTTTTTGTTTTCCAAATAACCATTCCCTATATATATATATATATATATATATATATATATATATATATATTATATATATATATATATATATATTATTGATATTTGTAAGAACTAAGAACTCATGACAATTAAAAATCTATAAATATAAATGACTATTTTATCAGAAGATGATTGTATATTTTTAAGCATATGTATAGTGATATTTACAAGAACAAATAATGTTTATTATATTTTTTAACATTTAAATATGAAGCATACTAGTGATGATAGTATCATTTTTATTAATACATTAATTGATATTATCGTCTTCATAAATATTATATTTAATTCGTATTATATTCAAACATTAGAAGATGTTGGATGAGTGGTTATGTTCTTTGATTTCAAACCAAGAGGTGGTGGTATCAGTTCATCTCCAATATATCATTTGAACTTTAATTTTGTCAGTCTTATTAGAGTATCCATGATCGCCTTTGAGATAAAACATTCATCATTCTCACATTTCATATAAGAAAGTCAATCTGGGGCTTCTCATCTCTATATAAAGTTTCTCAAGAAATGATTAACACTCCTCCCGGCATCAAGCCCCGTCCGGTATACGTAGCAGCACATAACACATGCAAGGGTCACACAGACTCCTAGCATCCTAACATAAACAATAAGGGTCGGCATTGGTGCCTTAGACGTGCTAAATCCAGTGAGGAAACTCACCTCAATCGACAGATAAAAGATCCTACACTCGCTGTTGCTGCGAACCGATGAATCCCCGAGCTATCAATACCAAATAACATCCAATTAATAATTGGATTCCAAACCATAGCTATCAGTCCATAATTAGGGTAAAAATATCATTTTACCCCTGACCTAGTTTTGACCAAGACTTAGGCCCAAACCTATAATCCAAAAGGCCCAAAATCCAACTAACCGTTCAAGGCCCATACTTGGCATAATTTTCCAAATTGAGCCCAAACCTTTACATGGGCCTTACCCTAAAGCTCACCCATTCTCTTAGTCCAAAACACTTGCACTCAGTTGGCCCAACAAGAACCCAAGCACTCAAGCCCAAAAGAAAGGACCAACCTCGAAGCCCGAAACACAAAACCCAACAGACTGAGTACGCGGGTCGTACTCAGCTGTACGCTAAGCGTACACGATAAATGGCTTGTACGTCATACGTACAAACTTGTACGCCTAGCACACTCACCCGTTAAGCCAAAACCCACTTTAAGCACTTAATGCTTAAGACCAGAAGTCCAAACCACAGATAAGTGTGTTAAGCGTGGTTTTATTGAATCATCGTACGAAAGCACTTCTAGATTCGTCCTCCCGTTTCCTATATCCTAGGATGGCTTGTGCGTCCGTTGTGTACTTGTGTATCTCCTATGTTGTACGAAATGTCCCACGAATTCCTCTCGTAGTTTATTGAAATTATGTATGCTTTCTGTCGGTAAACTTCTATACGATAACCGGGTTGGTCCAGATAAGGTAGTTGGGAAGAAAATGCACCAATACTTTTCATCCAGGTAGTAGGCGTCCATCGTCCATCTATAACTTTCTATGTGGTCATCTGGATCTCTTGTTCCGTTATATTTTGTGATTTCTGGTATATTTGCTCCGACTTCTGTTGGTATTCCATTATACTTCTTACTAAAGGTGAATTATCTGATCGTATGACTCGTCTAGCGGTTGCGTCTCCGTCTGCACTTTTGTGTCTATTATGAACGAGTTGTGTAATTTGTTGTTGATGCATTGATTGTCCTTCTGGGGTAGGTTGCATGGCGTATGTTTGCTGATGTTGAGGCGGCCAATATGCTTGATAGTGTAACATCCCAAAATTTAAGACCAAAAATTTCATTTTTAATTAAGTTATTATAATACCTACATAATAAGAAAGCATCCAAAATAACATACCATGTCAAAACCAAAGTGTCAATAATCAAAACATGTTATCATAAAACAATATCAGAGTGTAATCCCAAAGATCTCATGTGCAGAAAATCGAGTGTGTGATGCGTTGCAGTCATGTCGGCTCCTTTCCTTTGAAAATCGAGTTTGCACCTTTATGCCATGAAACCTCTTCTAGACCCCAGATCTGAAAGAGTAATCACTTGGGACGTCCAAGTCTCAAACGCTAACATTCTTGGACCAACAATCTCATAAAAGTAAAATGAAGAGATCTAAGAAATCATTGAGCAAGTTTGAGACTTGCTTACCCGAAAATGCTGAGAATGTGAAGACGTTTCTGGATCTAAAAGCCTCTTCTTGAATCCCCAAGCTTCTCCTTATTCCACAAGCTTCAATGCACACAAATTCACTCAAAAATGGCTCACACACTCTCACAATGCATTAGGGTTTCGAGATTTAGGGTTTGGGGCTTAGAGGCTGGAAATGAGGCCAAAACCCTAGAGTTAAGTTTTTTAAATAGGGTGCAAAATCTCGAATTTAGGGTTTCCCAAACCCAGAACAAAACAAAACAAGAAAGTCTTGTATTGCGTTTGACGTACATTAGAGCTCATGTCAATGGGACAAAAAATTGCAAAAAGGGGGAACAACATGGTCTCGCCTAAGTAAAAGAAATTAATGCCCTCGCATCCTTGTCATCGAAAGTAGCCTTAAAAACTGTGTAATCATGTCCGGACAGTAACAACAGCACACGACACAACCTAAAAGATAGAAGATCTAAAGAAATGTCAACCTAAACACCCAAATAAGTCAATGAAGATACAGGAGTATCTACATGGAATAAGAGATTATCTAAGTGTAAGTAAGCAAAATGTTTCTTTCAAGATTTCAAAAAATATAAATAAATCATGATTCTCTAGCCTCTAGGGCATCAACTTCCTCATTGGACAAAAGATCAACTATGGGTTCATATAAGTCCCACTCCCTTCTTTTCCTACATTTAAAAAAAAAAAAAAAATCAATTAACACCTCCTCCACAACATCTTAAGCTTGCAAAATAATTAGTGTTACCTACCTGATCACACTTGATTTGTTACCAAATAACTTCATCGTGTCCAACGCAGTTCCACCTGGCTTACTGATGTCAAATAAAAAGAATAGTGAGAAATAATTATTTTATCTGGAAAAAAAAAAAAAAAAAAAAAAAAACCTGAGAGGCAGATGTTCAGTGCCCCTTCGTCCTTTTTTGTTTATTCTTGTTTCCCTTGCTGAAGCTACACTCTGGATTGCAATCTATAACATAAATAATAAAATCATGAATTTTTCTCAGCATTACATTACCAACTCAATATTTTATATATACTTTAAACAAGTAACCAAATACTAACCTCACAAAGTTGTTCCCTAATTGCAAACGCAATTGCAGGCTGTAAACACAAGATTTTGTCAATTATAGAACTTAAATTAGTCTTGCATTTTCAGCCTGTAGGCTATAGCACATAGATGGTAGTGCTAATGGAAAAAAAAAAAAAAAAAAAAAAAGAGTAGCCACATACTTTCATTTATTAGTTTATTATAATATTATAATATAATTTCATTTCTTCCTGTTATGGCATTGCACTTTGAAAATCTAACATATCATCAGAATACAAACCAATTTTCACTATTATAATCGGATAATTTTTTTTTAAGTATAAATGTCCAAATGAGTAACAGAAAAAAGGTACAATGATGTAATTCAAAGTACCATTCTTTAAGAAGCAAAGAACTGAAGGTACAATGTTGTAATAAAGAAAGATGAAAGTATGATGTACACAAAAAAATGAAAGAACATTGCTATTTATGGCATTTAGCCATTGACTGTATTGTATGGACTGTTTTTAAACAGTCAATAACTTACTCCAACTTCAGGGTCTTGGATACCCAAATCTTCACAGAAAATTCTTGCAAATTCTTCAGGGTCACTATCAAAGTTATTCAAGTCCTGAAATTGGTTCAACTTAAATGTTGATCACGACCAAAAGTAGTTATTCTAAATTCAAAAATTGTCACCAAATATGAAGAAAAGAAAAAGCAAGATTATGACTAAACTTACCCATAAAAATTGGTCCTTTATCAATGTATGATTCACTCGAAGATCAAGCTGACGGAGATCAAAGGAAACACATTATTATTATTATTATTATTATTATTATTGTTATTAGTAGTAGTAGTAGTAGTAGTAGTATTAGTATTCTTATTATTATAGCCCTTCAAATGATCGAAATGAAAAAATAAATACCTTAATAGGGACAATTTTCTCGCCTGTGTACATATCTTGCCCTTCAAATGATCGAAATTCAGTAAGCTGTGACTGCATATAAAATAAGAGAAATTCAGAATATATTACCACAAATTCAGAACCAGTGTCGAAAGAAAATTTTGATATGATTACCATGTAAAGGTAGGTTGAATTTAGAATTATTTTTGAATAATGTAAGTAACAACACCCAAATCCCATTAACTATGAATCATGTAAAAGTTTGATTACTGATGCAATTACTAGTTCCAGTGACACAATTACCCTTCAAAGTTTGGTCAAATTTCTTTCAAAAGTTAACTGTAAATATAAGTTCAGAAAATATATTAATCCCACTTGGCACTTGCTTTTTTTTAACTTCCGTTTAAGGTATACCGTGCCAAAAAAATAAACATGTAGCAACATATATGAAATGAAACTATCAAGTAATAAAGCCTTTAAATTTTTTTGAAAAACTCAATGTTTTCATCATAGTTTCTTAATGATCACAATTTAGCCCAAAGACAGATATATCTTGGTGATTATTTTATCTATTATATTGGGCAGGACAAGAAATGAAATAAAAAGATGTGTAGCTAGCTACACTAACACCACAGGAAGAAAGTTTACTTGAATGGATTGAGCAATTTGGGTCACAAATGCTGGAGGAAGCTTGAGGTCTTTCACTGTCCGTTTTGCAAACAAAATTACATCAGAATCTGGATCTGTAAGGAAAAAATATACAATAAATGAATGTAAGGTTCAGCCTTGGGGGATATTGATCAAACTCTATGTAAAAATCAGGGGAAAAGTATTGTATTAGTATTACCAGAAGGGTTCCAAGTAAATGTATCCCTGAACCTCTGACCATCTATATCAACATCAAGCCGAATGGGGATAAGATTTTCAGCAGTTGGACTGCAATTCAAATGTTCAACTGGTTAACAAAATATCAAAAATATGATTTCACAAAAGAAAGTGACTGATAGGCAACAGGATTGAACTTACATTCTGAACTTAACTGGGTTTTTCGACGAACTCCAAGCTGGATGCGGCTTCATATTCTGATGTCCCCCAAGATTACGATTGAGATTGAGATTGAGTGAGTGTGAGTTTTAGCTGCGATATAAAGTGCAAATCATGGTTCGTATCAATCACGACTACATAAGTTTTATTGCATTAAACACAGTTGATTAAGATAAGAAAGCAATGAACACCGTAGTTCCTCAATCATATTTTGATTCCCGATATACCACCGACAAATTCAAATCAACTAGTCTTGATACTCTCATTGAAAACCCTAACACAGGGCTTCATTGTGAATTGGAAAACGGAAAACGAATAATTGAAAGCTCACCGACGGTAGAAGCGCCGGGTTGTGATGATAATGCGCGAGTTCCAAGTATCCGAACGGATTTCGGTAGCAGCTTCAGAACGAAACTCGGAAGTTGGTAAATTGGTCCTCGTCTTTGTATTTTGTAATCGTATTTTTCATGTATAAACCAAAGAACCAACATGTATTTGTAAATATGGGGTTATTGTCATTGAAAACCGGGCAAATAATATAAAATCTAGGTTTTGTCTAATTTCTTCATTTTTGACCTATAACTGGTTTGCGGGTCATGTGTTGTTTGTTTTTGCGGATCACATCTGTAGACTTTTGCAGTAGAAGAGGTGGATCAAACGTCTGCTGTATGAAAAAAAATTGTTTGTTTTTTTAACAACTGCAAACTACTAAAATAAACTAAAATCTAAATAAACTGATATTTTTAAACTTCAAAATGATATTTTAATATTTTTATGACCCTGTTATAAATAATTAATGAATCTAGATCAACTTTTATGTATTATTGTATAAAAAAGTGAAAATAAAAATGGTACAGATTAATATATATATATATATATATATATATATATATATATATATATATATATATATATAATAAAACCAACAATTTTGGTCGCAAAGTTATGCCTAAACATTGTAATTATGAATCAGAGATATTGATACATAAATAGATGGAAATAAACTTTGATTTTTTCAATTAAATCAATTAAAAACGTACCATAAATATTTCCTCATGAAATTGAAAATATTGTATTAAATAATGTTTTATAAAATTTGGCACAAAAAATATAAGAATATATTATGATTTTTTTCACGTTTATATAAACAACTTCAACGACCATTATTGTAATAAATATTTATTTATAAATTTATCAAAAATATCATGTTAGTGTCGTTGAACCCTTTTTTTCTCAAATTGTTTATCATTAATAAAGTTGGAATAAATATTAATTAAAAAAACTATATATATATATATATATATATATATATATATATATATATATATATATATATATATATATATATGTGCGTGTGTGTGTATGTGTGTGTATCTGTGTGTGTGTGTGTGTGTGTGTTTAGGCTAGAAGATGTCTGAAGATGTTAGAAGACTATGGTCCACATATGCGCCAAGAAGAAGACGTGCAGACATTTTTAGGTATGCAGTCTTCGAGAAAACAAACAGTATGTGAAGGCTAATGTCTGCGCGTGGTCTGAGCAGCACAGACAGAAGAGGCCAAGAAGATCTGCAGACAAAAAACAAAAACACCTAAGTGAGGCGCAATGTAGGTAAACTGGTCCTCGTCTTTGTATTTTGTAATCGTATTTTTCATGTATAAACCAAAGAACTAACATGTATTTGTAAACTATCTTGGGCTATTGTTATTGAAAACCGGACAAATGACATAAAAGTCTTTAAGTTTTCAAGAAATATTTGGATTTACCCTTTGATGAGTTTTAAGTTCAATAATGCTTTAGGTTTTGTCTAATTTGTTCATTTTTGACTTATAACAGGTTTGGCCAGTCACATGTCTAAGTGAGGCGCCATGTAGGCTGCTAATTGGGCATATACGTCTGACATGGCGAAACATTGTTTCACTTAATTAAAAAACAGAGGCATAGCGGATAAAACGGAGGTGTACAGATCCGAACACCCAACCTAACAATCATAGAACAACAACTTCCCACTAGGCTGGAGCGTCTTGAATGTTTTCGCTCCTGATATTTACCATATGACATATAACACTGAAAGAATATATAATACAATTATTATTATTATTATTATTATTATTATTATTATTATTATACATATAATTATAAATATGTTTTTCAATATATAAACTACGTTTTTAAATGTAAAAAATATTCTTTTAAATGCATAAATATATTTTAAACATATAAATACATATAAATACATTTTTAACATATTTAAGCATATATATATATATATATATATATATATATATATATATATATATATATAATTGTTTAAACATGTTTAGCATATTTATTTGTAACATTAAGTATAAAAATGTTTTTATACCTATAAAAAATGTATAAAAAACTTATGAAAGCGTTATATATATATATATATATATATATATATATATATATATATATATATATATATATAATGTATAAAACCATATTATATATGTATTTTATCATTTGAATATGTATTTTTTTCAAATAAAAATGTTATACGTATAAAGTATTTATATATTAAAAAATATATTTATACATATTTATACATATAAAAAACATATTTGAAAATATAAAAAAAAATGTATATCTCCATCCATTTTTATATGTATAAATACGTATAAAATGTTTATATATATTTTTAGACGTTTATATAACAATAATAAATATAACTAGATGAGTGACCCCGCATTGCGGGGCCAGAAATGTTAACTTTTTTTGGTCGATTGTTAATAAACTGTTTCGGGAAATCCGGAGTGAACGTAGGGATTCGATTTTGGCATAGGCTTCCATACTTTGTATCCTACGATGGACCACTTATTCCTCATATATCGAGTGCTCTTCTGTATGGTGCATTTGTTATTTGTATCTTAACATGTACCATTTGTTTTTCATGTATGTGAGTATATTGGAGTAATTATGCAGGTTGTAACATAGTAGTTTTATGATGATATATAGAAAAGATAGGAAGTACTACATAGTTGACATGAACATAGTAGTTTTTATGTTAATACATAGAAAAGACATATTGGATTACATAGTGGATATGATGCTGATCTTCTTAGATAATAGCATAAGCTCATTGCCGGCTATATGTGGGGAAGATCTTTGACGATTTTGGCATAGGCTTCCATAGTTGCGTTGAATTTGTCTTGCATGGCTTCGAAGGAGTCCATCATCATAGTTGTTTCTTTATCCATGTCTTTGATGAGCTCATCCGTGATGACGTAGTGGTTGTATGGGAGAAATGTTGGTGACTGTTTTAGTAAGTCCTGTCTCATGTTGAACCTGAAAAAACAATTTTTATAAAAAGTTTAGTTTCTACAAAATATTATGAAAACGAAAAACACTTGAAACATTTTGAGGATAAAATAGCTAAAAGATAGATCCTAATAACTATTTGTTCATGTAATCTGATAAGTGTTACTAACATCACAAGATATAGAAACTAGTAATTAGCTTAATTTTGCGAAGTAGAACCTAAAAAAAACTCATTCAAATTTTTTTGGGCATTATAACAAACACTTGAACTACACAAAACTTGTAGTCAAAAATTTGAAGAAAAAACTCACAATAATGAATAAATATATAACGTAAGTCATATAAGAAACATAGTAATCAGTTGAAACTAATAAGGAAAAAGCACATACCTTTCGAGACCTCATTATTGTCACAATTTTAAAGGCGACGATTCTTACTCTCCTTTCTTTCTCATTCATCATGTTGACCCACATATACTTCTAGCTATGCCTAAAACAATTACCATCACAATATGGAATGTGTCCATAGCAGTAACTTTCGGTTCCGTCACTCATGTACTCATGCCCATCTTGGTCTGATCACATTAAAACAACCTAATGTCAATCCCTCATAATCAACTGAGTTTAATCAAGAAGTAATTCTCTTAAACATTTCATCAAACACATGGCATGCTAAATTGACCAAAAAATAAACTTTGATGAAACTGCAATACTTGTGCAAATAGCTTTTTGATGTATGGTAGTTCCCCCAGAAACATCTGTTTGCCTACTTCTACTCTGGCTGGGGGTTATAGTTGATGGTTTGTTTTGAATTCCATCTTCTAAACTAATAAAATACATCTATCAGAAACCTCCAAAGCATGTCTTGTAGCATCCTGATTCGAATTGTTCCCATTTTGAATTGGTGATCAGAGGATTAAGTGCTATCAAGCTACGAATACCGAGGGGTTGGGTTTGTGACCCAATAGGAGTTATATAATGCATATTGGTTGCTCGGGTATTCAGTTGGAGTTTTTGGACCAAAGGGTAATTCGGTAATTTATCAGCTCGGACCTTTGTGGAAAGTGGATTTGAAACATCCCAAAAATACAGACCAAAAATTTCTTTTTAAAATCATTTATAATAAAACCATATCATAAAGAAAATCATAAATCATGTATCTCAAAACATCATGTCAAATACTGTATCAAATCATATGAGAAAAATATCAGAGTCTAAACAATCGCAGGCTGAAACTGTGGTGTGTGCCATGTGATCATCCCGAGCCCTTCCCCTTGCTAGTGGAAGTACCTGAAACCAAAACTGAAAATTGTAAGCACGAAGCTTAGTGAGTCTCCCCAACTACCACATACCATACACATATCACATAACATGTCTTGGGCCCCGCCCCTGCTACATCGAGTCAAGCTCGGCATCGGCTTTCCCGGCATCGGGCCCCGCCCAGCATCGAACCCTACTCGGCATCGGGCCCAGCCCGGCATCGAGCAGATATCGGCATACATATACATAACAACATCATATAACATAAGCACATAACCCTAACATGTAAACATTCCTCGGGCCCCGCCCGACATCGGACCTAGATCCGGAAACATACTAACATTCCTCGGGAACCGCCCAGGCATCGGACCGAGTACTGAACATACTATCATAACATATTAACTAGACATTCATCGGGCTTGCCTCAGCATCGGACCTACGCCCGGAACACATAACACATAACAAACACATGCAAGAATCACAAAGACATCAATCATACAGGCATTCCTCGGGACCGCCCTGGCATCATATCAGAATCCGGAAAACATATAAACCTACTTCGGGCCCCGCCCCGCATCGGACCGTGGTCCGGAACTACTGCTATCTAAACGGGCCGGCCTTGGTGCCTTAGACCTGTTCCTACTGGAGAAAGCTCACCTCGCAAAGCTTTCTGCAAAACTCGCGGTGAGGAATATCTGATAGCTGCTCCAACGACTCCCCGACTATCAATATCACAATAATACTTAGTCAAAATCTGATAATCCTTCTCAGGGTAAAATGACCATTTTACCCCTGGTCAAAGTCAACATCCTGGTCAAAGTCAAAGTCAAGGTCAACTCCCAGTCAACCCCAACTCGTCGAGTCATCTCCCAACTCGGCGAGTTCATGTGCTACTCAGACCCGTGGTCAACTAAGTCAACTCGTCGAGTCCCTTCCCAGACTCGTCGAGTTCTTCCTGTCATAACATCGG